GCTGTGTCAGGATCTCAGGGGTGGCAGGGAGCCTCCTGGATGACCAGCTGTGTCAGGATCTCAGAGGTGGCAGGGAGCCTCCTGGATGACCAGCTATGTCAGGATCTCAGGGGTGGCAGGGAGCCTCCTGGGTGACCCATTGTGTTAGGATCTCAGGGGTGGCAGGAGCCTCCTGGATGACCCGCTGTGTTATGATCTCAGGGGTGGCAGAAGCCTCCTGGGTCACCCGCTGTGTTAGGATCTCAGGGGTGACAGGAGCCTCCTGGGTGATCCGCTGTAGCAGGGTCTCAGTGGTGGCAGGGAGCCTCCTGGGTGACCCACTGTGTTAGGATCTCAGGGGTGGCAGAAGCCTCCTGGATGACCCGCTGTGTTAGGATCTCAGGGGTGGCAGGAGCCTCCTGGGTGATCTGCTGTAGCAGGGTCTCAGTGGTGGCAGGGAGCCTCCTGGGTGACCCGCTGTGTTAGGATCTCAGGGGTGGCAGGAGCCTCCTAGGTGACCCACTGTAGCAGGATCTCAGGGGTGGCAGGGAGCCTCCTGGATGACCAGCTGTGTCAGGATCTCAGGGGTGGCAGGGAGCCTCCTGGGTGACCTGCTGTGGCAGGGGGTCCTCCTGGGTGACTCACTGTGTCAGGATCTTGGGGCAACAGGGGGCCCTCCTGGGTGACTCTGATGTGGCAGAGTCTCAGTGATGGCAGGGGAGTCTCCCGGGTAACCTGCTGTGTTAGGATCTTGGGGGTGGCATGGGGCCCTCCTGGGTGACCCGATGTGGCAGTCTCAGTGGTGGCAGGGAGCCTCCTGGGTGACCCACTGTGTCAAGGTCTCGGGGGTGGCAGGGAACCCTCCTGGGTGACTGGCTGCAGCTCAGGGCTGAGTGCCACCTGCCACAGGTAAGATGGGAGCGGGGACAGACCCCAGTCACTTACTCGGCCATCACGCGCCGCACGTTGCTGGCATACAGTGCGGGGCTCCTCTTCTCCTCCTCCGAGGGTGTGTAGACAGGAAGGAACTATACACAGAGAAGCCATGTTAACTCCAGGAGCACCCGCTGCTGCCCTCACAGCACCACCAAACTGCCTGTCTGCAGAATTAGGGTCTGCCAAACACCTGTCAGGGTCACCTTCCATGTTGACACAGGTCTGTGCACAGGTGATGCACGTGCTACATGCACATCCACACACATCCACACACGTGCACCGGAAAGCTCACAGTCCCCGCTGCTCCCAGGAGTGCCCCAGGCAGACGGTCTCACTCACAGCACACTGTGTTGGGCCTCAGGGAGGGGCCTGGACTTTAATTGTGAAAGAATTACTTGTGTATTTCCATTCCTAACGGTCAGTTTTGTGTTGGGATAGCACAGCAAATTATTTCTACATTTGAAACACACCATTAGTAGTTTTTTGCCACCTACAGCATTTTGGAGTTAAAATAAATCATTCTAGTAACATGCCCTTGCCGAGTAAATGCTTACACAGCATTCTGTAAGCCCCACACCCAGCCCCTGCTCCACATGAGAAGGCAAAGGTCTAGCTCGGATTACTTTTTCTTTAACCCATATTTAAGAATGTAGGAGCATTCTGAAATCCTAACTATTCTCGCTGTATAATTGTAATCTACATTTCTAAAAATTCTATAAATTGTCATGGCTCCTCACACTAACATTAGAATCACATATGAACAACACAAGTAAAGACATTTAGTATGATTTTGCAAAGTAATTCAGTTTCTTTCTTTTTTTTTTGGAGACAGTCTCACTTTGTTGCTCTTGGTACAGTGCTGTGATGTCCTAGCTCACAGCAACCTCAAACTCTTTAGCTCAACTGATCCTCTTGCCTTGGCCTCTGGAGTAGCTGGGACAATAGGCACTTACCCCAATGCCCATCTAATTTTTCTATTTTTAGTGGAGACTGGGTCTTGCTCTTGCTCAGTCTAGTCTCAAATTCACGAGCTCAAGAAATCTACCCGCCTCAGCCTCCCAAAGTGCTAGGATTACAGGTGTGAGCCACCACAACTGGCTAGGAATTCAGTTTCTTAAAATGAGCAACCAGGTCTGAAGTAGAGCTGCTTAAAAGTGGTGAGCCCCAGAGAAACATAAGCTCACACTCCAGGATTCTGTCCTTGGAGATTGGCCTGCACTCCCTCCTGGCCAGGACAGAACCAGTCATATCAAGCACCCTGATCAGCAGGGATCACCAGCCTCAGGCTCAGACAAGACACTTGGGCTGGTGCTTTGCAAATGGAACAGTTTATCTTCTGCGGAAGTGAAGCGCTTCACAGAAAGCCAGGCTGATTTATACATTTAGCATTACTCTGCAATATTTACTGGAAGGTAGCAAATTGTTCTATTAAATATTTAAGTTGTATATGACTCATCTTTAATTTTCAGATGTAGAAATAGCATATTAGTTTATCTCTTTAAGAAAAGAAACTTCCTTAACCACTCAGATAAAAATTTACAGGCTGTACCTAAGTGACTGTACTTCACTTAGCCAAGAGGACAGGCACCATGACCCTGGAGCCCCACAGGCTAAGGACTGGGTGGCAGGTCCACTGTTAGATGAGGTACTGAACAGAGGATGGTGACAGGCTTTTAACAGCAAGAATTCAGTATTAGCATCAGGTGAAACTAAAAGCTAAAAAAATTATTCATTGCACGTGCCTATTTAATATACCCTTAAACTATTAAAGTTAGCTTTCTCGATTTAAAAAATCCTAGCGGAATGGTTCAAAATCATACAAGGAAAACTAACTGATGCAAAGTGATGGGGAGGCCCCTCCATGGAGCCCTGAGAAATGGAGAGGGGTCCACATGATGGGCAGGGCATGCCAGGTAAGGCTGTATCCAGACTGGTTCAGGATGTGTAGCACTGTGTCTACACAGGTCACAGAACTCAGCCACCCGTAACACTGTATTTATACAAACCTCAATTTCCACTTGATTGTGAAACTGACACAGGGTAAGCCACAGGATTTTTAACCTTAAAAACATCACATTGAATAGATTTACAAGTCTGGTTAAAAGCTACTATTCTTAATATCTTTTAGTTACTTTCATTCTGGAGCAAAATTTCTAGGCCCACGTGTCTCTAAAGGGCACTGCTGTGTAGTTAACGACCCTTCCGAAGGGAGGCTGAGCCTTCCCTAGCTCAAACCCAAATGTTAAAATGTGGCTCCTTTGGTTAGATGGGGTCTGCACTTTTCTCATCCAATACCTGCTCGCATCTTTGGTTCATCTCCCCAAGTTTGCCCTCCACCTCAGGAGACCTTGTCCACCCCAAGCCTGTCCCTTTACAGCCATCCCCAGGCAGCACAGGCCCTATTTCATGCCACCCCGAAGCCTGGCCCCAGAGTTCCTAACCTCCTTGTTAGCAGGAGTTGGGGCAGGGGGCCACTGAAAGCTCTATCCTTGGGCTTAGGTCCCCTGATGGACAGTCCACCTCTGGACTCCTTCTACACCAATCCCTTTCCACTCTGTCATGCAGGCCTCTGAGATCCCCAGAACATCCTCCCAGCTCTTCTCCCACTGCAGCTAACTGCTCATGGATCGCCTGCCAAGCTCTAGCATGAGAAGCACTGACACCTAACAGGGCCACCCAGATGTGCCGGCAGACCACTGCCTCCCGAAGTCCCTGGGCCCCACATGCTCCCTCAGGCCACCATCCTCCAGATATCAGCCTAGATAGACGTAGTCCCCAGAAGCTCAGCTCCTGGTTTCCATGGGCTTGTTAGCCACTGCACGGCCTGTCTTCAGAGTCTGTCTCAGGGACAGGTACACTGACCACAGCAGTCCCTGTCCTTCCTACTCTGGCACTGCCCTGCCCTGTGCCTGCACTCTAGGGCCTCTGGAAACACCAGAATCTCTGCTTTCTTTATTGGGGCCACCAGGGGGGTGATGGTCATTACTGGGAAACCTGAGATGGGACAAAGACTCAGTCACCTTCCCGTTGGACATGAACCAGACACCCTTGAGGAACATGAGAGGGCTGCATGTGCACCTGAGTTCTCACACCGGCTGCACCTAACTGCTAAAGTCCCCACTGCCACAGTAACTAGAGCACAGGACATTCCCCATTCACAGGATGATAGGACAAAGAGGACATGTGGCCTCCAACTTACGCTCCAGGACCTTGCCACGTCCACGTGATGGTGTCCTGAGGAAGAAAGAACAGAATACAGTTACTTTCACTCTGGAGCAAAATTTCTAGGCCCACGGGTCTCTAAAGGGCACTGCTGTGTAGTCAGTATGGGCTGGGCGTCTGGTGTCTCCGTGTGCTCGCCTCAGCCGTGCCCATCTCCAACCCCACAGAGGCACTAGGGCAAGGGAGAGGAGGGCGCTCACTCCCAAATGCCCAGGGCCCAAGGACCCAGACCCTACTGAGCCCCAAGGTCACCAATTTTGTCACGACCCAGCCCTTTTCTGCCCTCCCTTTCTGGGTATTCCTCAGCCAAGAGCAGACCCAGGGCCACCCGCTAGGGGTGTTTCTGAAGCTCCATCCCCAGACTGCGGCCTCCTGCCAGCCAACTGGTCTGTTCTTGCCTGACACCATCACCTCACACAGGTGGACGCTCAGCTTCCATGCACTGAGCTGAATGCTTCTGGGAGAGGCCAGTTAAAGCCACATTGCTTCAAACAAGTTGAAACAAGCTTCACAAATATAGATTTCTACACAAGATGGCAAGTCCCTTATTCTGGATTGTTTTACTCCCAGGAGCTGCCTCTAGGGTGTGGCTTCTGTGGCTCAGGTGGAGAGGGGTTAGAGTGAGCCTCCAGAGGCCTGGCTAATGGGCACCACTTCTGTTAAACATGGTCTAGAATCCTCCGGTCTCTGTGGCCATGGCCCTGGCTTATGCATTAACTGCCCTCTCTGAGCCTTGTCCACACACCTGCCCCTTCTTGGTAGAGTGCAGCCCACAGGTGCAGAGGCTGGGGCACAAACCTTGACATCACGCAGGCCAGATCCTGGAGTGGGTGGGCTGAAAACCCCTGTGCCCACACAGACCACTGTATTTGTTACATTCATTCTTCCTTGTCATGGCCCCTGTGTGTCTCTCAGCGAGCTTTCCTTTGCCACCATGAAGGTGAATAGCTGTGTGCAGCAGCTCACAGCACTGAGCAGCCACGGACAACTCTGCCGGGAAGAGCCACAGGGCGGCCAGGGCTGGGCCAGGGCTGTAGGCAAGGTGTGTCCATGTGAGCCGTTTCTGCTGCAAGAGCCTGGTCCAGGGGTGAGGAAATGGCTCAGAAGGGTCACAGCAGCAGGTACAGTGCAGGTGGCACTGAATAGGTGCCCTGGGGAGCTGGGACCAGGCCTGGGAGGTGCATGGTGCTAGGGTGCTGGCTGCACCTGTGGGGGGCAGGATGGAGGCCAGGACCCGCTCTGAGGCCTCATCTGGGCCTTCCACCCTGAGGTGGGGGCCCGGTAAAGTCGCCCCAGGAGTTGAGCTTCAAGTATCCCTCTGTTAATTTTGTTCTTAAACAAACCCTTGTGCACTGACAGAGGCAGATAAAGGCTGGTTAGCTGTAATGCCAATTCTTTTCCCTCCTGCCTCCATCCCTCCTGAAATTGAAAGTCCTGAATTAAAAAACTGCCTGGAGGGTGAGCTGGGTGTTGAGAACAGCTGAGGACATGGGGGCGGAGGGTCTCTCTCCACAATGTCAGGGCCACTGCTCATGTGTCTTTCATATGTCAATTTAAAATCATGAGGCTTATTGGAAACTGTAGAAGAGGCCTATGTGCGGCACAGTCCCGGGGCTGAGGCTGGAGAGAGGGTTGCTAAGCATCCCTGGAGTTTGTCGTGCCCTGTTCAATATCGCAGCGTAGACGCAGGGACACAGACACCTTAAAACCTTCCTGCCCAGCTGCCTCACCCTAGCATTGACCCCAGGAAAACACAACTCACCAGTTTATTAGGGTATCGTAGAACCACAGGCTGTACGGGGACACCGGGGATGAACGCACCTGCCAAGGAAATAGACAGCTACTTCATTTCTGTGGCTGCGGGTGATGCAGGGAGGGTGCAGCCCGGGCCGCACGCCTGTATTGGTCTGGAGTCAATCAGCTTTTCTACTTAGGCCTTTCTGGTCAACAGGTCAACAGAGTCACTACTACCTGGATGATCCCAATGTCCCTCCTGAGCATCAACCCAGGGCAGAGCTCCAGGGTCAGGGCACTAGCCAGTGAGAGACTAGGACACAAAAATGCCACAGAATGAGGGCACAGCTGAAATGGACACAGACTAGGAGGGGCCTGTTGAAAGTGAGCGTCCCTGTGCTATAGCTGGGGGTCCACAGGACTGGCCAAGCTCCATCCATCCTATGGGTCGGGGTGGTCAGCACTGGGAGGGGCCTGTGGGAAGTGAGCGTCCTCATGCTATA